GCTAAAATTCAAAAATCAATATTCTAAGATGTTTATTTCAGCAAGAATTTAAAAGCTGGCGGCTAGCGTCTTGAGATGCGAACTTTTCTTGTTTTATCTGCCTTGAAGCTTTTGTATTTTTGAAGGGAATCAAGATTATTTACAATAGTAGAGCTTCCAGGGTAGGCACTAAGACCAAAGTGGCTGCCTTGAGGATCAAAACGGATAGGTTCATTCATAATTGATAAATTGGGAGGGAGTAAAGTCTTTTTCTCTGTAAGTCTGTGCAATGCATCAGTCAAGGCAACAGGCTTTTTAAAGTAATCTATGAGGGGAGATGCGCCGTTGAGCTCATGCAATACACTGTTGGTAATTTGGTGGCTAAATTCCTTCATGCAGGAGATTAAAACCTATGAGAGGGCAGAACGATAAAAAATTAGTTATAAAAAAAACCTTATATTTTTCCTCTGCGTTTTTGAACGTGTATTCTTCAATATTTATAACGTCTTCTCCAATTATTTTAGATACTATGGAGCGAATCTTCTCCCTTACATCATCTGGAGGATCATAGGCAAGAAGCTTTTGAACAGGATTAATCGTGCTAGAAATAATGTTAAAAATACTATATACGTTTTATCGGAAGCGGATTGCAGCTGAGATCGAAAATGACTGTCTTTGAAAAAGGAAGAAAGATGACAGGATAACAAAGGGGTCTAAAAGAAAAATAGAATAGTATCAAGAGATTCGGAAGGCGTTAATAGGATAAAAAGACAACTTAAAAATCAGGCTTATTTCTATACCTTTAGATTGAATAGGGAGTTTATCTACGATACGCTATGAACTATGGACACTCAAGCAAATATTTGGAAATTACATCACTAAATTTGCAGTATGGATTATCAAGTATTTTGTAAAGCATTGCTAGAGCTCACACCAGGTATTTTTCGATTTAAAAAGGGAGAGTCGTTCTAACTGCCATTAATAGAAGAGATTATAAATGTATAAACCAAATTCTAAGTGAAATGTCCACTATTATAAATAAATAAAAGGGGTAAATGAATAGCGAACACAAAAATGTCAAGAACAATAGAAACGTGCTTCATAGCGAGTAATATTTTTAAAAATTATCAAATTAAGTAACTTGAATGGATACGCACTAGAAATAGACCACACGGATACGTTTAGCACAAGGAGGACAGCAAGAATATTAGTATCAGTCACAAATTTTACAAAAATAACTCTAGCTGGCTAATAATAATTTTGTGAGTAACAAATTTACTAATGAGATATGAACAACTTTCGTCTCTGAATGATCTGTGACTGCTCATAGGGGTACATGATGATCCATTCACCGGCTTAAAAGCCAAACCAGCACCAATTTACCATTAAAAATAAATAAATAAAAATTGAATGTTGAATCATAATAAACCATACAAAATGTAAATTACCCCAATAACCGTTAGGCCAAAAGGGCGCAGAATGGCTCTATTAAAGGCACGCGCTAGCATTTTTAAGCGTACCGCTACTAAAAATAAAGCCGTTTGATTGCTTTTGGAAACATTTATAAAAGCTTTATTAAGCTATATTTTAATATATGCGCAAATAGTTTTCTACTTTTGGGTACCATTCCTAAATGCTTTCTGACATCCCTTCCCAGCTTTCCTCTCCTGCTCTCGATAAGCTTTCTGAATTGAGGCTTCAGCATCCTGATAAAGAACCAAAATCATTACTTTGGGATGATGCTATTTTATGGTAAAGGCTTAAGCTAACTCTCAGTCTTTATTCCGTCTTCGGAAACCTACTTATGGAGGCGTTCGAGTTTATTGACCGAGACGCAGTGACGCTGGAAAAAGCACCATCTGGCAGAGCCATATTTAGGGTAACATTTTAAAGCTAACCTTTAGTTGGAGATGCGTCAGGAACAGCCATACTTTTGCCCTTTTTACGTGAATGTGTGTGTCTGCCACTTCGAAGCGTCGAAAATACAAATATCTGGCAGGCTCTGGGTATCTTGATATTTAAATTTTTCATCTTTAAGTGCGCTCATACCCTTGCTGCTTCAATAGCTCGTTCGCTTGGGTTATATAAACACGCTGAAGTAACCGATGATAAGGTTTCAAGCATCCTTCTGATGCTATTTTCTATCTAACCTATTTTATGGGTTATTACAATTTGCAGTGCTTATGTGGCTAAATGTGCACAGCTTGTTATATAGATAAAATATCTATTTGGTTTATATTTTTAAATAGCCTTCGGTTTGCGTTCTCCTTTTATTTGTTTTATTAGTTCTATTAATCGTCCCGGGGTCCATTTGGTGCTGCATAACCCTAATTATAAAATTCACTCCTTGAACCAAGAATTATTCCTTGATAATTTTGTCTGATTAAGGAACATATGAAACAAATTAAAACATAGGAGCCCGAATTGCCGACTGACACCTATTGATGCAGCTAGCCGAGCTTTATATTATTTTATTTCTTTGATATCCTGCTATATAAGGTTTTTGACGCTAAGTTAATTTAACCTAACAATTTTAAAATAGTCGCCTTCGTAGTTGCCGCTTTAGTGTCTGTTCAAGGCCTGATATTTCTATGAATTACGTTTAGCTAAGATATTCGCTATTTAGACGGATATATCTTTCTTGGGACTCTTCTATCATTGGTATAAACTATTTATT